ACGCCCAGCAAATGAGTCATACATGTGCAATAGGGGCTTCAATTCATAAGTAAAATCAGTTTTATTAACAGATTTCCACATGTCCAGAGTAAACAATACATTCCGAGGAAAAGAACCTACATACAGTGCCATTGGAAGTATCCCAGGATGACAAAAAAAATATATAAATATGTACACCCACAATCACCGCCGCCTCCGAAAACCTGAAAGGAAGGGAAATCAAGAATGAGGAAAAGGACAGTTGGAAAAGCTGAAGGAACAGAACAAAAAGACATCTAAAGAGAAGGCCACTAGGCACTACTCTATATCCTCCCAGGACAAAAGACTAGAAGTAGGAAGAAATTGAAGTGGGATAATGGTTTCTTCAAGTGACACTTTAATAGTTTTATTTAAGGAAGCCTGAAAAGGTGTGGGAGCTTAGAGAAACAATCCAGAAATCTCTTCTGTGAATTATGCTGATTTTCAGCTTGGGAAAGAAGAAAAATAATATCCCACCTCTAAAGAGATTAATGACCAGCATGGAAGAGATATTATAGGGCTTAGTAAGACCTAGGATGGCAAATTCAAAGCTGGCATCCCAATTCATACTCTCCACCCTGCACTTGATCACCTAACTCCTAGCCATTTACTGACCTTTTTTCTTCCGACCTTTCTTGGATATCTTCTTCCGCTTCTTAATAGGATTCTGATCCTGGAGACAGATGGAGAAGTCAAGGAATGGCAGTGCGAGTACAAGTGTTGTATCTCTTCCCCAGTTTCCCATGGCAACAAGCCCCACATACATTTGTCTGAAAGCATGAAAGCCACCTCCCACCACTGTATCACAACCTCACCTCATCAAGATGAGGGGTTCCTCCTGTCAAAGCACTGATGTCACTGAAGTGCGTGAGAGAATGAAGCTGTGAGCTCATGACATTTGCACGTTTTCGTCGTCCTTTCTCTCGCTTACTGACACTTAAACGCACCATCATGCTCTCCTCATAGTTAATCCTGTCAGAGAAACACACAGTTTTCTAACATGCTCAGTCCACAAGACACAAGCTGCAGCCCAGAACCTGGGCCCAGACATTTACTCACCCCTTATTATGACAGTTCTCAACAGATTTCATAGCAGGGCAATATAGTATTTGGTAAGGACATACCAAATGCTCAACACTGAACTTCCTCAAGGAAACATCCTTTGTGCTAGAATTTCCCTCCTCCCTACTGAAGAACTCACAGCCCAACCACTGGAATATTTAAACTATTATTATATCAGAAAACTCTTATATTTCAGATCTATAGACAGGATTAGCTACATGGGCCCCTTCACTCAAACCCATCAACTGGGCAAAGTCAATGAGTCTGTATTTAAGTGACAATCACTTTTCTACTTCTCTTCCCTGAACTTATCTAGTACTCTTGATGCCATTACAAAAACCTACTTTAAAGTGAGAGCTGTGATAGTGAAATCCAGAATGCTAAAGCCCTACTAGGTGGAACTGCATATATTCTCCTTCATATAGCATTTGCTCAGTTGGGAGTGGCGGTGGGGGAATATCTTTTTCCTAGTTCTTAGTCTGTACTTCAAACCCCTATGTCCTCCCAAGTTTTCCACTCCATTTCCTATATAATGTGGGTTCGTTTGGCACTAGACTTAACCACATTCATCCAAAGCACAAGAACAAGTCTCTACAGCGCAGAAAGCAATGTCTAATTACAAGGACTCAGACCTGTGTTGATCCTCCTGACTCTGGCGAGTAACATGAGGATGCCGGGCATCACGGATTTCCTCTGGAGCATCTGAGTACTGCTCCTTAAGTTCACGAATGACAGAGCTACTCAATGCTCGCCTCTTGGCTCGTTCTAGACGCTTCTTTTCCCGCTCAGCCTCTGTTTCATCTGTGATAAAAATTAGCAAAGGTTATCCCAGAACAGAGAAAAGAAGAGAAACACAATTCACACTGAGGAGGTGGTAACCACGGTTCATACCATAATGTACTGGCACCAAGCGTGGTGGAACATATTTCTTAACTGCTCCATTTGCAGATTTCTTCCCTGAAGCCCCAGCCTGTCCTTCCTCTGCTTCATCTTCCTCATCCTCAGAGCTCAACTATAAAAAGAATATAATGTTCACTAACTTAGGAAGTGTTTAGAAAAGCCAAACCTGGTATACCCTGGGGAGGTGGGAAAATAAAAGGCAGAAGGGGGAAATCTCATACTCAACACTGTAAGGCACAAGCTGGGAATCAAGAGTAATAAGAGAATCCCTGGAGATCCAGGATCACCACGAGGCTCATTCAGGCTTATTCAGGAAAATCAGGATAACACAACCCCTTACCTTGCTCATCATATTGCTGGGATGAGGCTTAAAACGGAGTGGGTCATTCTCACCTGAAACATAAAAAGCCCCCAAGAGATTTTATAAGATTTTGGACTTTATGATGGAATCCACATAACCTTACAGCTTCTCCCACTTACTGAGGCTGCCTGTCACTGCAGTCTTGACCAGTTTGTCAATTTGATACTTCAGTTTTTGGTCCAAGGGACGAAGTTTTTCCAAAACCTGTAACATGGTTAGAAAGGATCACATTCCCTTCCCAAAGTTAAGCACGCACCACAGTCCCTATATTAAGTTGCCAGATAAAGCACTTAATTAGCATATGCACAAAGTTAGAACCAAAGAAGAGAAAAATACTATCTTTCATTTGGTTTCCTCACTTAAATATGAGAACATTCACTTAAATGAGAGCTATTGTGTGACCGTCCTGGAGTTCAGGATTTGGAAACCTAGGACTCTAAGATGCCAAATACTTTATACCGTGCGAATCTCCACCAGTCTCAAAACTGCAGCATGTCCCTGAAGAGACCCTCCTGAGGCTTTGTCCAGGATGAGATGGCTCAAATCCATAAGGTACATGAGCAGCAACTGGTCTTTCACTTCCAAGAGGCTGAGACCCTGAGTTAAACAAAACAATAAGTGATGCAAACTCTGTTTTAGCCAGAGAATCAGGAGGAGAGCCTAGGACAAACAGGACAATCTTTTCCAAGTTCAAGTTTTTCCCAATCAATTCATATAAGATATCTGGAGTAATTTCAAGGGGGTGGCTGTACCTGAAATGGCCACAGAGAAAATTATGCTAACAAGAGAGAAGCAGAGCTCAGAGCCCTTTTAAAACACAGTAAGAGCAAGAAAATCAATAAAGTATCCCCAAAATAACTACAGCAGGATTTCTCAACCTCAGAGCTATTAACATTTAGGGACAGATCATTTGTGGACTGCTGTCTAGGTGCTAGAGAATGCTCAGCAGCATCACTGGCCGCTACTCACTGATAACCCCTCAAGTTGTGACAATAAAAAATGCCTCCAGCCCAGCCAGTGTTGCTCAGTGGTTAAGCATTGACTCATGAATCAGGAGGTCATGGTTCCATTCCTGGTGAGGGCACATACCCAGGTTTCAGGCTCAATCCCCAGTGGGAGGCGTGCAGGAAACAGCCAATTAATGATTTTCTCTCATCATTAAGGTCTCTATCTCTTTTTCCCCCCACCCCTTCCTCTCTGAAATAAATAAAAAACACATTTTTAAAAAATGCCTCCATAATGCTGAATTTTAAACTAATTTAATTAAAAACAATTACTGATTTTATCCCCATACAATGGAATTATACAATATAGGTAAAAACAGTGATCTATACATACTGACATAATTCATCATACTAATTTAGTTTCATATCACAACACTTTCTACACTCTGAAGAAAATGTGTGTAATATGGTTCCAACTAAAATGGGGGAGTATGATGCACACATTTTATATGTATAAAAATATGTCTGGAAAATAACACATAATTAACAACTTCTATCCCTGGAGAGCAAAATGAGAAAAAAAAGAAGAAATGGAGTGCTTATACTGTGAAACTGTTTTTTCATCAAGCATGTATTACTTTTATAATAAAAGAAATTTCCAAAAAAATGTACCCTAGTGGTTATCTTAGAACAGGTGTCCTCAAACTACGGCCTGCAGGCCACATGCGGGTGTTTTTGCCGTTTTGTTTTTTTACTTCAAAATAAGGTATGTGCAGTGTGCATAGGAATTTGTTCATAGTTTTTTTTAAACTATAGTCCGGCCCTCCAACGGTCTGAGGGCCAGTGAACTGGCCCCTGTTTAAAAAGTTTGAGGACCCCTGTCTTAGAACAGTGATTATATAAAACTTTTAATTTTCTTCTTTGTGTTTTTACGTATCTGCCAAACTTTCTAAAATTAAAAGTTTATTATATTTACAGGCAGAAAATTGAACAAATATGTTTATTCTTTTAAGTAAAAAAAAGTACAATGTGTAGCACTGACTTAACCTAGTTATTTTTAAAAAAGGAGTCACTGTTGTATAAAATAAAACTGAGAAAGTCCATAGTCCTAGGAAGAGCCATATCAATCTTTTGTATTTCTGTGGGGTCTGTTGTTATTTCGCCTCTTTCATTTCTGATTTTGTTTATTTGGGTCCTCTCTCTTTGCTTCTTGGTGAGCCTGGCTACAGGTTCATCAATCTTGTTTATCCTTTCAAAGAACCAGCTCTTGGTTTCATTGATCTTTTGTATTGTTTTTTTGGTCTCTATTTCATTTATTTCTGCTCTGATCTTTATTTTATTTTTAAAAAACATATTTTTATTGGTTTCAGAGAGGAAGGGAGAGGGAGAGATAGAAACATCAATGATGAAAGAGAATCATTGGCCCTAACTGGTTTGGCTCAGTGGATAGAGCATCGGCCTGCGGACTCAAGGGTCCCAGGTTCGATTCCGGTCAAGGGCATGTGCCTTGGTTGCGGGCGCATCCCCAGTGTGGGGTGTGCAGGAGGCAGCTGATTGATGTTTCTCTCTCATCAATGTTTCTAACTCTCTCTCCCTCTCTCTTCCTCTCTGTAAAAAATCAATAAAATCTATACAAAAAAAAAAAGAAAGAGAATCATTGATCGGCTGCCTCCTGCACGCCCCCTACTGGGGATTGAGCCCGCAACCTGGGCATGTGCCCTTGACCGGAATTGAACCTGGGACCCCTCAGTCGCAGGCTGACGCTCTATCCACTGAGCCAAACCAGACAGGGCTCTGATCTTTATTATCTCCTTCCTTCTCCTTCCTGGGCTTTTCTTGTTACTCTCTTTCTAATTCTTGAAGTTGTAGAGTTTGATAATTTATAGATAGTTTTTCTTGTTTTTTGAGGTAGGCTTGTAATGCTATGAACTTCCCTCTCAGGACTGCTTTCACTGTGTCCCATAGGCTTTGGATTGTTGTGTTTTCAATGTCATTTGTTCTAGGAAGACCTGTATCAAACAGGTTAAATACTCTGCCTAAGATTACACAGTAATAGGAATAGAACTGGGATTAAAACTCAGTCTAACAAGATAAGCTCTTAAGATCAGCATTAGTGTAGTACAGGAGAATAAGCAAAGGATTTAAAGGCAGACAAATTGAGTTTAACTTTTGAATTAGGTATTCAGTAATCAAATATTGAGTAAGTCACTTAACCTTCTAATATCAGTCTCCTCATCTGTAATATGAACACTATTTCCTTCCTATGTCAAAGAGCAATTATGAGGTGCAAATAAGATAACATGAAAACACTTTGTAACCTATAAAACACCTAGTAAAAGTCTTTGGTGATAAGCTACTAAATATCTGCTCAATGAATAAACAAATATATAGTGATCTGAGATACATGCTGGCAGCCCATTTCAAAAAGGCATTAAATTGAAGCAAAGCATGGTACCCAGAATAAAGACAGCCAAGAGTTTGAGAAGTAGGCTCTTCTGACATGCGTGGCACTGCCAAGTGCAAACTGAGTTACAAGCACGAGAGAAACACAAAAAAGGAAGAAAAAGCAGATTAAAAAAATAATCAGAAAGTATAAAAATAGACAAGAACAAAATTTAATGATGAGAAAGAAAAGACAAAGAGAATATATTAAAAATGCTCTTATGCCCAGCTGGTGTGTCTCAATGGTTGAGCCTTGACCGGTGAACCAGGAGGTCATGGTTTGATTCCTGCTCAGGGAATAGGCCCAGGTTGTGGGCTCGGTCCCCAGTAGGGGGCATGCAGGAGGCAGCAAATCAATGATTCTCATCATTGATGTTTCTCTTTCTCCCTCTCCCTTTCTCTCTGAAATCAATAAAAAAATAAAAAATTTAAAATGCTGTTAGCTATCTTTCTAAAGAACAAAACTGCCTTCCAAAGAATAAATCCCATGATTAAAAATCCTCCAATGCTTTTTATTATCCTACTGCAGTAATTTTCATACTTTTGTTAACCTATGGTATGTTTTGCTTAAATAATTATCTCAGCAAAAAAGTTTAATATATAAAACAGATGACACCAGATTTTCCAGTTCAAGTAAGTAGAGGAATCCAGAACCCTCTGTTTATACTGGCCATACTAAATGATCCCTGAGAAGGTTCTATAAGACGTTAACTTATAAACCACCATCTTTCAATTTTAAGATGCACACTGTTTTCATATTTTGACATCTCTGAAGTCAAGATGCATCTTTTAATCAACAGTATTTTAATATATGTCACAGATTAACAGGTAGCATTTTTTCTTAATATATATAAAATGAGTAAGAATAAAAAAAAACAACAAGATTTAAAAAAAGAATAAAAGAAAAAAAAAACACAAAAAAAAGATTAAAAAAAAACAAAAACAAATAAAATGAGTGATGTTCTCCATTAACAGCATCATCTTGGATTAGAAGAAACACAATAGTTAACTCCTCAGTTGACAAGACTTCTCACAATCACTCCTTTTCCAGTCTTTTTTCCTACCCCTAACACACACACACACACACACACACACACACACACATCTAAAGGACTTAGCTCCTCTCCCAGAATATCACCATGCTTTCAGGACCCTGTGCCTTTACACATTTGCTTCTTTCTGTACTTCTGACTCCTATTTATTCCTCACAATCCTGTTACCTTCTCCGATAAGCCTTCCCTGACTTCCTCTGCTCCTCTGGCAATTATTTAATCTTTCTCCTCGGCTTGCACAGCACTCATCATGACTCTGCAACACGGCTGCTACTGCTTATACCTGTTAGTTTGATCTGTCTTACTCGCTAGACTTCAGCACAGAAACTGGGCTTTATTCGTCTTTAAAGCTCCAGCAACTTAGTATACAAGACATTCAATAAACCTATCATGAAAGAACTGTTGAGAACATCAACTCAGGGGATGCTTACACTTAAAGTATGTCTTACCTTCTCTGTAGGATAGGCTCCAGCTTGAACTTTTTTTGTCAGAGCTTGAATTTGTGCAGTTACAGCCATTACCTGAAATTAGTCCAAATAAAACAGCTGACTAGAATACATCAAGTGATCTCTGTAAGCTGTAAAGGGCAAAAGCTAAACAATGCCACCTAAAAGTTATCTTAAACACTGTTCAACGTACAGTATTTTCTTTTCAGTTCTGGAATAGAATAAAGAGGGATGGTTTCTGATACTTCTTCAAAAGGTAGAAAAAACTTTTCACCTCTTCTTAAAGCTAAAGAAATCACCTTACCAAAGCATGGGGAAGCCATGGGGACTATACCTTTATCTGTAACGGCTGAACTTACAATGCACAGAACTACATAAATGTGTACTAGCTGGGCATCCAAAAAGCAAGTCGCATCACCTTTCCAGCATCAGTTTCCTTAACTATAAGAATAAAGGAAACGGATTCAGATAATTTTTTCTTAAGTTTTCTGTATTCATTTGGATGCAGAAGTCAATTACTTTTCATTGTAGCCTGAAAAGGGCTTCATCAAATCATTTTGCTTTTATGGCATTTGGTAGCATTCAAATATATGCTCCCAAATCAACAAAGTTTGGAGGTGAAGTACACGAAGTCAAAGTCAATCGCTGATTAATCTATTCCAAAAGGGTGATATTACTCACCTGCTCCTGGAGGTTTTTCAAAAGTGCCACCGCTCTCGGCAGGTCTGACTCCAGCACCTCCTATAGGAGGGAGAATAAAGAAAAGCCATTCTTCCCTCAGGATTATGAGGTGGAAAGGCCCCCACTTTCTCCTTCGGACACCCCAGACTTCCGGCCTTCCCACTCCTGTTCACAACTTGCCTGCTAGCCGGCCAGCCCCTCAAAGGTTACTGGTGAGGAGCGGTAATTCCAGCCCCGTTTCCCCACGCTGTGCCAGGGAGGCTGCCTCCCTGAAGCTACTTTCATCACCACCCCTCCCTCGCGCCAATGATTTGCCTGAGTCACTTAGGGTAAAGGAAGCATCCACGATAGCAACCGGAGAAAGAGAATGAGAACACACCGTAGACACCGGCGCCGCCATTGCCACAAAGCCCGCCCCTTCCGGAGTCGTACTTCCTGGTTGATAGACTGATGGACAACCACCGCTTGCAAATCTAAGCCAATAGGAATAGGGATTCTCTCACTTCCGCCTCGAACAGGATGTACTAGACGAGGGACTGGGGCCAGCCAATGGAATAGAAGAACTGGTTAAATCCGGAAGGGAGCTAATGACGTAAAGATGTTTTCGGAAAGAAACATGTGATTAGTAAATTGAGTAGAATGATCGAAGCTAAACCAATAAAAACTGGGCAAATGATTGATTGGCAGTTACAGAGGCCCAATGGAAAAAAAGAGTTAGCAGAGCTAACGGAGAGCGTATTGGCTCCGGGATGCCGCAGGACCCAGAGTCTTTTCACGACGCTTCCCTTGCGGGGCCTGAGCCAGCCTCTAGGCGGCGGGCCTCCGCTTGTCTCCGAGGAGGTGGCCACGTTGTGCAGCTGCTGTCGCCTGCGGCTGCTCCAAAGCTGGTCGTGACGAATTGCTCACAAACCCCAAGGCTCTTGGATGGGTTTTGTGACCGTCCTTCTGTGTAACCATGGAACTTTGTTTATCTGTAAATAAGACAATTGGGCGAGAGAAGCCGGAGCCAGGGTTTAGACACGGACAACCAGGACACTTGCCCTCTTCGTGCGCATCTGAGGGCGCTACGGAAAGACACCCCCCCCCCCCCCCGCCCCCCGATGCCGCCCCAACACTCATCACTACCAGTTTGGAGACATGAAAGGGAGTACGTTTTACAAATAACGAAGCCGGCTCAGATTTAGGTGACTTGCCCCTGGTCACACAGGTCCACAGCAGAACTTGGTTCAAACCCAGCCTATGCATATTTCATTATGTCCTACCTCAAATTTTCCCAACACTCTCAACTGTGTCAGTTCACTCCTGCTTCTCACAGGTAAAGCAAGTTGGTGGGTAGGAGTCGTTCTCTTTGTCTGCCTTAGGAAATAAGCACCGCAAGAGCAAATGAAGGTCTTGAATTTGCCCGCAACTGCAGAGCGGATTTAGGACTAGAAATCGGTTCTGACTTGGGGCTGCCTTCTGGAATTAAGGAAGGACTAACCTCTATATCTCAGCAGCCAGGGTGAGGAAGTCCTGGTTTCTAAATCATCTGCTGGACTCAAGAAGAAGAAGGCAAGGGGAATCCAGTCTCCATGCCTTTATTTCTAACATTTACTTGCTGCTTCAGGCCCAGCATGCAAGCTCAGGGTGCTTTAACAGCCTACTCAGTCAATTAACCAACAGTTTTTGTACCATTTGTCAGGATTTGTATTAGGAAAAGTTTCCATTTCAACAAATTCACAAATTAGGTCACAAATAAGCTTTTCCTTTCCTTGGAACTTGAAATTTAATTTGTTCTTATGCATTATATCAATGACATATTACACTGCCTTGTTTTGGTTTTTATTATTAAATATTTATCAGCCATTTCGTTACAAGAAAATCTTGGAGTTAGCAATACAGTAAATCTTTATAAAACTCTTCTAGGACTCAACTAGTGTTGGCAAAGAAGACAAGATCATAAACTGGCAATCATAACATTTGCACATACATACTGAGTAAATTTTTAACAGCTTTATTGAGATTTAATACATATATGTCATCCATTTATAGCATATAATTCAATACATTTTAGTATATTCCTGAGTTGTGCAAATATCATAATTTTAGAACAATTTTATCACACTCTAAAGGAATGTGCCCAATAGCAGTCTCCCCTTTTTTTTCACCTCCAGTCCTAGGCAACCA